TAAAAGAAACACAAAAAAAAAAAAAAAAAAAAAAAAAACATTTTTCTTATTTATAAGATTAAGTTTTGAATTCCTGATAGAATAAGATTTTGAAAAGGACTCCTTGATACTTGTTTGGTTAAACCAAAAATACAGACTTGTAATCATATTATTTTCCTTTTAGGCTCCTAAAAATTCGAGTGCTTGGATGGGAGAAATAACAGAAGTAGTAGTAAAGTTAATCACTGTTGATCAACTAATGTGTCCCAGGTACTTGATATATGGATAACAACAATTATAATCATGATCTGTTACAATCACAGCCCATACTTACACGCGTATTAAATGGCGGGCACTGTTTTAATTGTTTTCTAGTCACCTTATCAGTGACGGGAAACCTTTTTGATTTTGATGACAATAAATAGCTGTGGCATGTGTGTCACTGGTTTGCCACCACTGCTTTTGTTCTTACAATGATCTGGTGAGGTAGGTACCACAGGTTATGCAGCCCTAATCCAAAAACTTGAAATTCAAACTGATATAAAATCTGAAACTTTTTGAGTACTGTCCACCTGATGCTACTAGTGGAAAACTCTACACCTGACCTCACATGATGGGTCACAGTCAAAACACAGGTGCACAGCACAGTTCATTCAGCTTTCCCAAGAGGAAAAAAGACTCTTTCAGCTCTGGAAGTGTGATGTACAAATTTTGTTTCACACACAAAATCATTTAAATACTGTGTAAAATGACAAGTGGATTGTAAGGTTTTCATACATATATATGCATATATTCCAAAATTTTTAAAAAAACCTTAAATCCAAAACACGTATGGTTCCAAGAATTTGGGAAGGGATGCTCACCCTGTATAACTGTTCCCATGTTACTGGCTCAGGAAGTTTGGCAACTTCTACAAGGTAGTTGGCTGCTGAAGAGGTAGAGCTGGGACTCACACCCAGGGGGACTGGTGTTATAAACACATACAATGTGCTGCTTCCAACTACACGGTTTCTTAACTCACTTAATCTTTCCAAGGCTCTGAGGCATGGTGATAATTATTCTCAGTTTACAGGGAGGGACTTTATCTCAACAAGAGTAGAGTCACACTGCCCAAGTCACACTGCTAGTGTGTCACAGTCTGACTCCCAGGCCAAGGTTGCTTCCATATCTTTTTTTTTAAATGAGTCAACAATCAAAGTTGTAAGTTCTCATTTAAGTCTGGGTGTCTGACATCAGCACAAGAAGAAGCTCGAGAGAATCATTTCTTTTGAAAGAATGGGGATAAAATATTTTATTTGCTTCTAATCATACCCAAGCAAGGGTAAGCCAAAGAAAACCTCATAAAGCTCTTGGTAAATCAGAACAAACACTATCGTTAACATCACTAGTGGTAACACGGTGAGTTATTAACAGAAGGTGGTATTTTGCAGCCCAGGTAGAGATGACTCCTCAAAGCTTCCCCTCCTTTCTTCATCTCTGCATAAAAAGCAATGCTTTATCATGAATGCACTGAGGTATAATTACAAAGCATCTTGTCTGCTTCATGGAAATGTCTGACGATATTC